TTTTTTCTGATATCGATTCTGGTACTGGAATTCTAAATTGCTGGCCAGAGTTGCTCCTAGTGCTGTTTTCAGTACTCATAGCAGTGAAAGTTTGTGCTACGTAAATGGAAGAAACTAAATGGAGTCGCTCTACTTCTTCTGGCCGAGTGGCTGAATCGTGACTGAAGTTCTTGTTTGAAAGGAGTAGAGGAATAGGAACAGAGGGAGCCGGGATAAAACTTAATAGGTAAAGGAAAAGGTATACTCTAGCTGATGCGATTAGGAGTAGGAGGGACAGAGGTAGCCGGGTTGAAACTAAATAGGGAAAGGAAAGGGGAAACATCAGGAGGTGCAATTAAGACTAGGAGGAACAAGGGCAGCGGGGATAAAACTCAGGAAAAGGAAAAAGGCAAACCTTAGCAGACGCAGGGAGGCTCACACGTGCATCGGTATCATACGCCATACGTTCCCATGCATTACGGCGTTGTTGAACGGTACGTGACCAGTTAGGCTCATTGGTGAAGATCTAAACATTGAAAGACAATTTTCACAACGTATGTACACACGACTATCGCTAAGCAACATGCAAAGGTGCTACGTGAGTTTAGCGATCAGTAAGCGATCGTACAACTTGTCAGTAGCAACTCGACAAGCAAATGGTGAATAAACGCACAGTCCATGCTGATCGTATGGGCGGAGATGCCCAACCCTACCAAGTGCCTTCCCCACCGGCTCTGCATCTCATCAAAATGGCAAACAAAATGAGGACGACAGTGAAGAAAGCACTGTATGTTGGGTGTCTCCGCCCATATGGTCAGCGTGCACTATGTCGTTGAGGGCTAGATGCATTGCTGATATCGAATGCATGGCAACCATCGAACACATCATGGAGGGGTCATGAAAGGATTTTTCAGCTAGTTATAGAATTTCTAGATTTGTAGGCAACTATCAAACTCGTTGATTTTTCAGTTGTGGTTTCTAAAAAGATCTAGGGCTACTCAAGTGTCCCTATGCTAAAGCTTTAAAACTCACGTCACGTGGCGCCAATTGAGGATACTCATAGTACGGCTGAATATCCAATGTAAAGGGAAACAACACTCATTGTAATAAATAACTACAAATCGTTTTTTTTTTATTTCAAGTGGATCGCGTACCACACTGGGACACTTGGAGAAAGGGGCGGAGACACCCAACTAATGCTCTGTCATAAGTCTGGCTGCAGCAGGTAAGGAAGAGAGGTCGGCGGTGGACAGAGAGATGCTCGCACCAGTGAAGTAAAGCTGGTCATTGGAGAATCAGCGAGTTTGCGCAGCGCAGGCAAAACAGAACATAACAGAGTGTAGTTGCAAGCGCAAGGCATCTGACTCAAGGCCAAAGTGTCGCAGGGCAACCAAAAAAACAGCTTAGGCTCAAAGAATGGCCTGTTTCTCTGCGTTTCGGCACTCTTGCATCTCGCTGATTGATATCGAACTTCCAAGTGATAGCAGGCAAGAGAAGGCATGCCCTCCCCGCCTACCTATACATAACGTCTCGTGCGCCTCAACACAGTTTGCTTGGGATAATTCTCGAAACATTTAAAGCGAACTGGAACACAATTTCACAGGTAGGAAGGAACGAAAGAAGTCATGCACTCCGGTGTGATCACAATTGTTGTAGAGTCCATATCTGAGGGCAACAAGAGACGTGGCTGCCAAAGGAGCGATGGTGTAGACGAAAGAGAGGCACCTAGGAAAGGAAAGCTGGCACGGGAATATGCAGCTCTCACCGAAACGTCCTTGTTTGGCTCAGATATAGACCATGAAAACTCAGTTGTGATGTGAGACAGACGTGAAAATGCAAAACGGGACACTAAAAAATCTCAACGGCAGCTCCTGTGCGTCAAGAAATCGTGCTGAGACTCAATACGACAAATGGAAAGCAAAGCGCCGGATCAGCCTGGAGGATAACCACCAAAACAAGCTTGGACGCCGTTCGGCTTGGAGCGGGGGGACGTTTTGCACTTTTGCTAGTTCCCTTGCTAGTACATGCTAGCTAACAGCTTAGAACCTCTTATGTCTTGGGAAGCTGTACAAGTGAGCCCCTCAACTTACGAGAATTCACAGGTCTTCATAAGCTGGCTTGTACAGGTCTCCCTGAGGACCACGTGGTGCCCCACCAAGCCGAACTGAGTCGAAGTTTGTTTTGCAGTGATCTTCCGACTTCTCGTAGAAGATTTGGAGGAGCTCGGTAGGTAATGATTTGCTCCACATTATGTCTCACCAGTAGTAGAAATACCTGGTACGCTGTCATATGCACAAACTTAGTCCACTGCACTTTGTTCAGTAGTGCCTCCCTCCTTCTTGCCACGTTAGAAGAATAGACCCACCAAGGAAAAAGGTGCAGTGGTCAAAATGATTCCGCCCACACCAGTGCTGGACTGCACCCTAAAGTTGAGATCCCTTCTGCCCTGGTGTGACGCGGTCGGCCATTTAGAACAGAAATAGATCCATGCAAATGATGGTTTGCCAAGGTCACTTCGGTGCTCGGTGCGCGGAAGTTGTCAGCAGGTAAATGTATTCTATAATTGCTTTCAAATAACTGGACCTGGAAGGGAAAAATTAGT